TTTGAACCACGCTTTACAGCTTTTTGAGAACGACAAGACAATTGATAAAATACATTATTGTACCACGCTTTACATATTTAATTTATTTTTTAATACGAATTTTTTTTTATACCACGTTCTTGGTCATGTTTACTAACACAAAAAAGTTCAATATTTGAACAACCATATCAAAATATAACGTTAAAAAATAAGATGTAACAAGATTGTGAAAATTTATTTTATTTCATATATATTGAAACAAACACAACTACACACATGAATTACAAAAAATAATACCAAAATAAAAGACTAGGGGTATCCTTGATAGTTGGGTACATTGGACGAACTTGCACCAGGATTACCACCGCCACGCACACCACCTGAAGGATATTTACGACGGTCGTGTCCTGTTTGCGAGCATATGCCACATTTACGCGCATAAACGGACTCACCAACATCCATTTGGTTCCGTATACGCATTCTCTTTTGCACTTTCAGCTTGCGCAAATAGTCCTTGTTACATACCATCTTAAAAGGTTCCGGCGGCCAATAATGCTCAGCACAATGGATGCAACTTCCCACTATACGTGTCTACGTATGCAGCAACACTGTATTGCCTATCAATATAGTTTGTTGCCCCATATCGAACTTGTTGAAAGCACTTCAACGCATGTGCGCACAGCATGTGGTAGATGGTCCATTTCCCACATGAACATAACCTTCTATTTTCATTCACCGTCTGTAGATTATTCCCACGGTGTCCGTGGATAGTGGTCTTAACTTCAAAAACACCCCGTTCATGATCGTACTGAAGAAATGAATGCCACTGTGCTCGCCTCCTGGACCTTTCAAATCTTCTCATGGGTATTGGCATAAATTCAACACCCCTGTCCATCAATGCCGATGCAGCTGCATGCCTTTCAACAAACCTCTCCGCACTCTGTTTGAATGTCATACGGACCATGGCGGTGACAGGCAGTCCACGGGCAGACTTCAACAAGCCATTGAATGACTCCGACACGTTTGTAGTGAGGGCTCCCCATCGTCTGCCGCCATCAGCATGCAATGTCCACATGTGAGGCTCATGTCGCATCAACCAAGTATAGGCTCGTGGATCTATCGGCCGGATCGCTTCCATGCGCCTCGTGAATTTGCACTGCTGGTGCTCAGTTGCAGCCATCCACATTAAGTCATGCAAGGCCTTGTCAGGAAATTTCTTCTGGAAAATTGGCTTTCAGGTGCCTCACACAGTAACGGTGGTATGCATATGGTTCATGCCATTCAGGCAAGTGACTTACAGAACTTAAAATACCACCATGCCGATCAGATATTAGATAAATACCTTAACGCTGTTTGACAACGTGCTGCTTCAAGTGGTTCAAAAAATGCGTCCACGTCTCTTCACTTTCGTTGGCACAAATGGCAAAAGCTAGTGGAAATATTTGTCCGTTGGCATCTACTGCAACTGCAATCAAAAGCTTAATATCATACTTTCCATAGACATGAGTACCGTCTATGAAAATTACAGGATGGCAATGCACAAAACCATCAATTGCTGGTTTAAATGACCAAAATACATAGTTGAATATATATTCCGGTCTGTCCGGACTCCGCTCACGCCTCCATTCAACAACAGTCCCGGGGTTAAAGTGTTGTAGTGCAGCCATGTACCTGGGCAGATTTGAAAAAGACTTATCCCAGTCGCCATAAATAAGTTCAAAGGCACGTTTGCGACCGAGATATGCCTTTCTTTTGGTTATAGTACAACCATACTCCTGGTGGACGACTGTAATACACTCTTTAATCTTGAACCTAATGGACACTTCCAAAAATTGAATCAAGACAAGGGAAATCAAGTCCACATCCAAGTTGAAGTGATTCTCATTGAATGTGTCCATTTCACATCTATGCTCGCTAATAAATTTACCCACTTTCCACAAACCTGATTTCTTCTTGCTGGCACGCAACATCCAATGACAACCCATAAACCACCTACGGCATACAGCCTTGTATTTCTCCGTAGTTGACTCACTTACCGTCATCTCACGGCACTCTCTTATACTGTAGATTTTTATAGCTCTAATTAGGTGAGCTTTATCGGGGAAATACATGCCCTTTGTCAGAACACCTGATCTAGACTCATCCCACATCGCTGACCATAATTCATCATCATCCCTTGTGAGGGCATCCACGTTAGGCATGCTTGGAAAATTATCAAGGTAGGGAGTATTCCGCTCATGAAATGGCACGTGGGACTCGTACACTCTTGGGCTAGCTGGAGGTGGAGGAACATGCTCCCTCGTCAGCTCCGGTTCAACATTCACTTCCTCCTCCTCATCATGGAAGGGTGTGTCATCCCCAGACTCATCCGCATTGTTGTCATAATCACTATCATCCTCCTGACTCTGCGCATCTGCCAAATCACGAGTAAATACGTCGTCTATGGGCAACTGTGTGAGGTCAGGAGCTTCAAGAAGCTCGTTTTCACTGCACAAAAAGAACAAAAAGATAAGTTACCCAAAACTCAGGAAAAATACTTTAGATATAGCTATATCACTTTACTTACAAATCGTATTGTCTTGACGTTTCATGATGGATGTTTTCATGTTGGTGATGACTCCCGGATGGACCACCGTGGTCCAATACCCCAGAACTACGCATATTCCAACTAGGGGCGGGGTCATAACTTGTAAAATTCATGTCCGGACGGTACCCCCTATAAAAAATATGAGTGTTAATACAAATCCAATTAAAACATAAAAAAAAAACATCACTAAAGCGTAGTAAAATTGAAGTTTACCAGTCGTCTTGTTGATTATATAAAGTCATAGTATTATTTTGTGGCTGCTCATTTGCCGGTGGTGACAAGTTTAAATCAAGGCAAGCTCTTTCATGAGCAATCTGTCCGGCAAAAATTGCTCCAGAATAACCACCCGATGACTGAGGGTTATCCCTGCTATGCACGCCCTCATTACTAGGAACGTCTTCCACCTTGACATATATTTCCAATAATTTTATTACAATAAATTCCCTGTATTCATCCGGAATCCGCAAAAAATCTCTAAGAGTTTCATCATCCTCGATGTTAAACTCAGAATAATAAGCAAACCCCTGCGGAGTCACTGAATACGGAAATCTACCGGTTACTTTAAGGTTAACCGAACGCCTCCGCTCACTCATTTTTTTTACGTAATAACGATACCAATGTATCGTACTCCATAGTAAGCGGCAATTTAACATGACACTGTGGAGGTGAGCTATACCTCATAGAGTTATTCTCCACCACAACCTCACCCCCCAATACAGTGAAAGCCTTATTTTTGGCACTTCAGACATTGTAAAAAAATGATTGATAAGGAGAAGAGAGATTGATGAACGTATGTTTGAAGTTAAGTATTGAATGAATTTTCATAAAATTGAAACGCCTATAAATAAGGCAAGTCCGAGCTTGGGGTATAGAATTTTTTAAAGGAATTCGCAGTATTATACTGCGTTTTATGTATTTGAATTATTGTTATGTCAGTTAATTATTATTTGTGGGGCCAAAAATCAGTAAAAAAGGGCATTTCGCAGTATTATACTGCAAATTACCCTAATTCGCAGTATAATACTGTGAAATGTCTTTTGAAAAAATAGCTGGGCCCATTTTTAAGCAATTCGCAGTATAATACTGAGAATTGCTAAAAAAATATTTTTTTTAATAATTCGCAGTATTAAACTGCGAATTACCTATTAATGTAAAAAAAATTTTAACACTAAAAATGTGCTTTTTGTACAAAAAAGCATCAAAAAAGTTTCGGACTCGAAAATACACTTACTTCGTACCATAACAAAAAAATGGCCCATATTTTTATGTTTTACCTGATCTAGCCCATATTTTACATATTTTGAAAGCAGTAGCAAATTCAAAATCTGTTTTCTTACAACCATTGCTTCTAAAAGCTATGGAGTTAAATTTATGTTCTCACAACCATTGCTTTTACTCTCTTTTCTTCTCACTTCTTCTACATGTGCTTCAAGGGGCCGTCCGCCATTACTGCTTCTTCCCTGTGTCACCTAGTTGCAATGTAAGAAAATTGAAGATTCAACATTCCACCATTGAAGGCCATTCAAAGTTTTGCTTTCAAAAATAAGATTTTTTGAGTTTGTTAGTTGTTTGGATTGGGTGTTGTTCCAATTGATTGAAAATATCAAACGGAGTTCAAAATTTAAATTTGAAGTGATTTAGAGTAGATTTGAGCAAGATTTGAGTTAAATTTCAGAAAAAACGCAAGGAAGAAGATGGAGTCAGTTTTTTGTATAATTATGTATAATCTTGTATAATAGTGTATATGAGTGTATAAACACATCTTATACACTATTATACATTTTTATACACCTTTATACAAGCGTATGTAGACGAACTTCTTCCACGATTTTCAGTTGCAATTCTTGTTCAAAATCAGTCCAAATCTCCATTAAATGACTTCAAATTTTATATACAACTTCCTCATACTATTTCTAACAATTCTTGATAATTCCCACTCCAAATTTCTCACAAAATCAAATTCGGAATCTAAACCCACATATTTAAACTTGTTAAAAATCTAATTTTCACCATCCAAATGGATTTGGTTTGTTGAACTAATATTTGAGTTACACTTACTGATTCGAAAATTAACTTAAAGCTTGAGCAATCTTTTTTAAAAATTAGATAGTAATTTTGAGAACCTATTAGAGTTGGATGTTAAATCTTAGCTTATTATTTTAGGGCTAGTAGGTTGTAAATTGAAATATGGGCTATATAATTGAAAAGTAAGGATCCCAATTGTTTTTATGTGAAATTTATGGTAAGTCTAATTCCTAAATTAAATTATTTGGTGGTTTGATTTCACATCACTGGTCTCCATCCAAGTCTTTGACACAGTTAATCTGGAAGAGGAGAATCCAAGTGGATAAGCATTGGTCTATTCAAATTCATTGTATCACCGTTCAAATTTTGACAATCTGACAACAAATAATCCAAATCAGCACAAATGAAGTTACGGCAAAATATAATGTACAGTAACTAAATCAAAAGGTGTGGGGCATGTACCCCAAGAATTTTCTCAAATTTAGCTTAGCAAATAGAGACATTAAATTATTGCAGCAGCAGAATGATAAAAAGATTCTACTACAGCTGCTTGGGCGATGAGCGGCAACGCTCAAATCTCAATACAACAACCAATAGAAACAAATCAATAGGTAAATTAAGCGGAGACTCAATATTCCTGTACAAATTTCCCACAGCCCCCCTTTACTTTGTGGCTAACTAGCGAAAAATGAAAACCTCAGTAGTTCTATCTATCAAGCAACGGAAAACCATCTTTCCCTTCAATGATGACTCAACTTGCGCTTCTTTGCCTGCTTTCTCAACTGCTCCCTCCTCTCTTCTTCTTCTATCTTCCGAAGTTCTTCCTCGTCCTCTTTCCTTGCTATTTTTGCACTGGAAAACAAATAGAAGTAGGTTAGCATTCAGCACCTTCGCTTAGTTGTGCGGTGCGGGAGACCGTTGAAGCACTCATCTTGACAAGATAAGTACTAACAGGAACACAAGACTGCGAACAGACATTGCATAATCTAAATATCTAGTCTAGAAAATTGCTGCTTCCCATCATAGCAGCAGCCATAAGCATTGGTTACGTTTTGAAAAGTTTGCACAGAAAAATTCAAAAAAATCTCATTTTAAAGCCAGAAGGAAAGAAGGTTAACTATAGGTTTGAAATTACTGTTTCCAGTCTTTTTTCTGCCTTCGCATCACAGCAAAACAAATGGATATGCAAAAAGAACAGTACTCCACTCAACTTCACCCATGTAGTCAAAAACTAGGTGATGAGGTCATGCCCTGCATGTTAGACCCTCTATATGAAATGCAAAATAAGATAAAAAAGAAAGACAAAAAAGAAATGCCTAACTAGGAGAAGCCTTCAATTTGAACTTCTAGCAAATGAATTAAGTGTGTGTTATTCCCTTGAAGGGAAGATGGGAGTAGCAGAGGGAGTGGGATTGCTTACACTAGCAGATCAAGTGACCTAGGCGCTCAGCATGAACTAACAAATGTTGAAAGTAAGTATAGAAAGATGAGACAATTTCACCAACCTTCGCTTTTCTTCCCTTAGTATGTCATCAAAATTAGCCTCCATATCACTGGTATCATCATCATCTTGATACCTGTTGGGATTATACCTACAAAAAAGAGACATACTTTCTCAAGCCAACAAAACGAGATGAAATTCAACATTAGGCATTATCAAAGCTAGCAACATCTTGCAGTTTATCACAGATCTTAATTTAACTACATCAAATAAAGAACCAATCATACAAGTTTTATCTGAATCAACTTTTTTGTATGTTTCCTCAACCGCAAGAGAATCTGACCAGAGAACGTGAATATTTCACCTGATCAGTTTCCATTAGGAAGTCTATCCACTTGCACAAAAAGGTCCTTCAAGACTATAAGGTTTCTGGTCTCACGAACCCTCAACTCTAAAGCAACCAGCAATGTCAGAAATTCTAAAGCTAGAGCTTCAAAAAAAATCATTGCAAGCCAACCTTCCCAAAAGGACAAAAAATCAACTAAAAGAAACTTATAAGGAAGGAATGATAAGTACCCAAACATCCTCCTAATCATACTAATAGCTTCTGCTCCATCGCCTTCTTCATCATGTCTCTTTGGTTTTCTTGCTGGGCGCCTATCTTCCAAAGAACGAGTTGCAGTTTTAGGAGGCAGTTGCTTTATCTGTTAAAATCACAAATTTGGATCAGCAGGTCTCCACCACCACTACTACTGGCAAACCCCCCAACCCAAACCAAAACAGAGGGAAAGCAGGCCTTCATTCTCTGTAACCCAAGGAAAAGATAAAATGGATAACATAAAAAAGAAAACATAGGTAAGACCTGAGATTTGGATGACGGCACTGCCTGTTTCTGCATCATCTGCTTAGATTTGGATGAAGGCACAGCTTGATTTGATATCCCCTTTGACTTTCCAGATTGTGGCAGTTCCTTTTTCTGTACTAAGGACTGCCTTGGAATAGAAGGTTGCAACTTTGAAGGGGTTGGCTTATGCAAAGCAGGCACAGTGCTCTTGACGCCTGGTGTCAAAACCCTCTTGCCATTTGGAACCCCTATAACTTTGGGAGGCACCACTTTTGGCCCCAAAGGCCGATCAGGCCCACTCCCTTTACTGCTACTAAGCTGTTTTCTCAAATCTAATGCTAGTTGAGATTGTTTACGAACAGAAACTGATAGCTGCGTCAACAGTTTCGATTGCATTTGGCTGCTTCCTGGTATAGGTTTCCGTACTTCACGATCATTGAGCAGCTTCCTCCGCGTATTACTTAAAGATTGCTTGCTGCTTGGCGGTGAAGATAATCGTGCATCTTCAATATCACCAAAACAACTGAATAAGTTTTCTCAATAAATACAGTATGGCTTACGGCCTGAACCACTAAATAAACAACCAGATTAGCTATGATAGGAAGCGCACCAGAATAAGGGGCAGTCTTTATGAGGTACTCCTTTTGATGGAGCAGGAAGTTCAGCATCATCAGATAATAGAAATGAGTAATCTCTTGTATTTTTTAACATCTGGACCTTTGTTTTCAACTGCAGAAATTGATATGGCAAAAATTGTTTAAAAGAAGCATCAGAAAATACAGAGTACATCATCAGTAGTAAAACACAATTAAGAGGAGTACATTAATTTCCACTAATTAATTCAGTACCCCATTAGTGACCTTTGATGCATGGCTGCTAGTGCCAGATTTTGATCCTGCGGGTTTTGATGCAGAGCTCCTGTCGTTCTACAAGAACAGAAAACGCTCTGTAACAGATATAATGTAGGCCCTAACATCAATGGAAAGGTATATATGCCATTCAATGCCCATTGGCTCCAGTGAAGATGAGAATAATTAACCATGCAATAATGGCATGTCATGTGATATTACTAATTTTTCATAGTGTGGAAGTGGAAGCTAAAGCTGTTGTCTTATTGTGTACACTACTAGAGAGGACTTATAAGGTGATGATGATTTGCAAACCTTCATCAATCATAGAATTACAAAACTATACTGAGGCACAGGCATCTTCATATGAATTAAAATTGATACATACAGCATGGTTTGATTTCAGGACTTTTGCTGCCAAATTTGTATTCTCCAATAGCGACTTGCTTTCTTGGATTACTCTTTGAGCGATCACAGGCTGAGAAGGTCCAAAGAAGGAACCATAACTGAAAGTGCCGAGAAAGAAAGAAGTAAGACCAACAGCATAAGCTTCAAAACTGAAATCAATTAACTTTATTCTAGATGTATACACCAATAAATCTTTACAAAGGGTAAGAGATACATTTCGTGCAACTACGCCTTGAAGATTAAAAACACAGAAAATATTAGAATTATACTAGTATCTTTTAGAATGTAGAAATCAGAATTTTGGAAAAAAAATCATATTTATCAATCTCCAGTAGTGAACAATTTCAAATGAAACTAGAGTGGCGGGAGGACAAGGCATATATTCCAAAGAAGATGCATAAATAGACACCCAAAAGATCCATTTGACATATGCAGTTTTTTTCGAAAATCTGTTTGACATATGTGGTTTTTTTTTAAAAATGTATTTGATATATGTGGTTTTGAAAAGCGCATTTCTATGCATGAGACAGAACACAGCTAATATTTAGAAATATGCAACAGACTAAGTGAGAGTACATTCATTACACAGAATTGATAAATTCAAAATCCAGCACAAAGTAACATATTGACAAACAAACAAACAAGGGTGTCCAAAATCTGAAACACACTAGTGGCACTCACTTGTCCCTTGGCAAAGCCTTCTTAATTTCAGTTGAACGGCCATTGACAGAACCTAATTCCTTCTTCCTCTGTTTCCTGATATCTTCTTTCAGTCGTTGTCTCAGCTCCAGGTACTCCGACAACTCTTGTGGAGGCTGCTGAGGCTCTTCCTCCTCATATTCCTCTTCGCCCTCCTCGTCCTCTTCTTGCTCTTCACCTTCCTCCTCATATTCATCCAAATCTTCATACTCCTCATACTCCTGAATGAACACAATAAAGCTGTCATACCAAAGCAGAAGATGAAAATTTCAAAGCAAAAGCAAGGATTTAAAAAAGATGTAGTAATAGCTTACGTCTCTTTCATATCCGTGCATAGTTGTTCTGGATCAGCCAAACAAATTCTCAATAACTCATGAAAAGACCAAAAAGCAGATCCTGAGCAGAGAAGGAGATGAAGTTATGACCACAGTGATAGGCTGATAGGCACACAATGGAAAACCTATAACTTTTTCCATCATAACATATTAAAAAGAAAATTTCCACCAAACTGGTGCACACCAAATTAAGTTAATCAGCGGAAGACAAAAACAATCAACATCTGTCAAAGATCAGATATTGAAACAAATCAGACCTTATTAAATATAAAAAATGAATTGATAGAGAATTTGAACATTTCAAAACCTTCACTGTTTCTCTTCTTCTTCTCCTTCTCCGCAATAGAGTAAGAGAATTATTCGTGACACCCAAATTTTTAGAGTTTCTGAGTCCATACTCAACAAATTACTTTTAGAAAAATAAAAATTGATTGCAACCGAACCACACCAGTTCTATTTACTACTAATTAAGATTTATTGGAAATCGAACACGTAAATGCTTCCAATTTCTTGACTCTTGATCCACTGGAGCCTGAAGGACCTTAAATGGTAATTAAAAAAACAAAATTTTAATCTAGAATAGGAAACCCTATTTTCCTTTTTCCTTATCAAAAAAAAGGGAATAGGAAACCCTAATTGCCACTAATTAATATCCAAATAGCCTACAAATTCACAAAAATTGAAAATATATTACCTGAATCGATCTGGAATACCGAAACAAAGCAGTTATTCAATGAAAATTCAAAGAAAAAATTGTACCAATTTAGTAATGTATTGCCTAAATAGATCCGCTATACCTGAAAACCCAAGCAGATCGAGTCAAATCAGACGAAAATTACCGAAAGGGGCGTGAATCGAAGCAAAAACGAAAGGATTCTGGATCTGGCAAAACGGCCACAACGGGATTGAGGGTAACGATCCGGCTTCGTCGTGAATGGGCGACGCTGAATGATATAGAAAGACGAGAGCTGGAGGAAGGACCCAGAACAATACGGGGCCAAATGCTATCGTGCGCTGGGCGTATATAGCCCGAACCCGAGTTCAGTTTCAACATACTTGTTGGTTTTCCGTAGGAAGATAGGAGAAAAATGCATGCAATAAGGGGATTCGCAATAAGGGTTGCCTGGATGTACTTATTCTTTATTCGTTGGCTTTCTTTTTCATTTTTGCGTTACCAGTGGCTCGTAAAAGAGTTTTGACCAAGTCATTTTGACCTAAAAGAAAGGAAATGAAAACAAACCACTTGCATCTATCCTACGTGCAAATTATCCAAAATATGATTCTAAGGTTAATTCTCTTAACATTTGACAACACTAGAGAATACTTAGCCCTCATTTATCTACCCTAACGTTAAAATCTTAATTATTCATATTTCAGTCATTAAGTGTATTTATTCTGTAAATCTGAATAATTATTAAGTCAGTTTGCTTTTTTAATTTTATAGTCACTTAATAAGTATGAATAGATCTTAAATATTAATATCTATGACAAAGTCTTAATATCATTAAGAAGTTATACATTCAAGAATTTATGTATAAATTATATTTCACTATTACACATATACACCATTAATCACTATTACCACTGCTCTCGTTGTCCCCTGCCATTATAGACTTCCGCCACTCATTACCACCATCATCGGCAATAATCACCACCGCTGTCAAGCACGAATGTCAATTGCCACTATTACGAGCCATCATTTACAACCATCACCACCAACTATCATTATCGCAATAATCACCAATCATCACTATCAACCACCAACGTATATCATCGATCACTATTATCAGTCACCACTACCATCAACCACCACTGCTAACTATTGTCATCCACTATCGACTACTCATAATCACTAACACCAACACCAGTCGGCACCCACAACCACCATTGTTAGCCATCATCATCACCAATTAACGTATAATTTTTAAAATATGTTTGTATATTAGATTAATTAGTACTATTTGATTTAATTTATACGTATTAATTTTAAATAAACAGTCTTAATTATTGAGTATTCAGATTTTAAAGTAACATCTTAATATTCAGATGTGTATTCAAATTGAGACGTTTTAATCTTAATACACAAACTAATATTCAGATATGTATTCGAATTCCAACGTCTTAATCTTAATAGAAACAAATGACGTCTTAGCATGTTGTATGATAATTTTTTGTTATTGAAAGTTTCATGACGACAAAGAAAAGCTTTTACAATCATATTTTATATCAATTAATTTACAATAGGTAAGATATTCAACGTAATAATTTTGCACTCCAACAAATTTTGAAAATGACAAGCACATCATGCTTGAAAATGCTGTGCACACGAAGATAAAAGTTTACTAGATAATTTGAGTTGATTGTTGATAAATGATGAAAAGTCTATGTTTTGAGCGTGATTATGTATTATTTCTTGTGTGAGTTATGGAAGTTCACACCGATTTTGAAGTAAAAATATGCTCGTTACGTGTTTCTTATGTGTAGGAATAAACTTGCACGGAAAAGGATCAAATGGGAGAAATATTGGTGAAAAAGAGCTGAAGAGAAAAGTCTCGGACAGCGAAGCGAGGCTCACTTCGCCAAACGGGGACCGAAGCAGAAGAAATCAGGAAAGTCCCGGACAGCAAAGTGAGGGTCACATCGCCAGACCAGGACCGGGGCAGAAAAATTCAACTTTTCCAATCCGAACTAGGAGAAGCAATTTCGGCCCAAACAAACCCTAATCACTGTAAATACATGTTAAACGTGATTGTGGGGGAGAGACACTACTTTGGATGGAGAGAAGACTTTAGGGGGGCAAGAACACTCTAGGAGCAAGAAGGAGAAGGATTCAATTTCACGTTTTTCCCTCTTTCTTCCTCTATTTCCATTATTGGTTATGAATTCTAGTATTGTAGTTTTGCATACTATTATGAATAGCTAAGTTGTTATCTAGGGTTTTGATGGAACATTTTGGAGGATGAATTCTTGTTATATTTTTATATAATTAAGCCGTTGGATTTCTCTACTTGTTCAACTACGTGTTTGTTGTTGTTGATTGAATGGCCATCAATTGTCTGTGCCTATTTAGTGTGTACTACTCGATATAGTGCACATATTTAGGTAGTTGTTGAACAACATCACTCCTAACGTATGTGGGAGATCAATATGGAGGGTTTAAAGGCGGGACTAGAGATAACGAAACCTAGGTGCGATCGTAATGAGTGGTGAATTAGTGCCAGCTAGCGTAGTTCAAGAGAATACGTCTAGTAAATTGTGGTAGTTGCTCGAGAGAGAGCTACAAAATCCAAAGTACTCACGATCGGTAGAGAATACAGAGGCGAAATTATAGAAGACCTAGGGGGAAGGATTTTGGCAATTGGGGAAATCATAACTCTAGACCTCCTTATTCTTGTCTCCAACTCTTAGTCTCCTTAGTTAATAATTTTACTGCTTTTAATAGTTTTTAGTTAATTAGTTTAAAATAAGAATCGCAATCTTTATAATTAGAAAATTATTTGGACTTGTATTTCTTAGCGATACTGAACAAATGTAGCTAAGCCTTAGTTCTCTGTGGGATTCAACTCCGGACTTGTAAACCGGATTATATTTGCAACCGCTTAGTCCTTTTTATAAGGCATAGTTGGGCGTGATCAAATTTTGGCTCCGTTGCCGGGGAACTAACGGTGTAGCTGTAGGTGTACATATTTCTGGGTTTCAAGTTTGAACTTTTATTTTAATTTTTTTTAGTATTTGATTTTTTTAGTTTTAGTTTTACTTGTTTATTCACTGCTGAAAAAATCAGGTTTTAGCTACGGACAAATTCTGTAGCTAAATAGAAAAATCCGTCGCTAATCTTATTTAGCGACGGATTAGCAACAGATTATCAAGAAATTCTGCTAGTTGCGAGCGTTTTAGCGACAGATTAACGACGACGTTCGTAGCTGATTCCAGTTTTTTTGTAGTGATATTTGAGAAACATGGTATCTTTAAATTATAAGAGTTTCGATGTTGGTAATTCTACTACTGATCTTCCTAATGCTTATTGTGGAGGAAATCACCCATGGCAAATTTATCAAAATATTTGCGAGAGCGAGTTATGTGCACCAATTCAATCTTATGTGTGGAGTGTATGTGATATGTGTGGTGGTCAAGATGGTCATTTTCATGGTTGTGCTTATATTTCTTGTCTTCCCCCAACCCCTTACTTTGATGGTTCTTTTTTTTTTCTTGTGAAGTTAATAGGAACAAAGAACCTAGGGATGATGACCTGAAAGAGATCAATGATATGCTAAGGTGCCTTGTGGAACAAATAATGAGAAATAACTACACATACAAAGGCAAGATGCTACTATTCGCAACCTGGAGGCACAAGTGAGTCAAATAGTTGAAGTATTTAATGCTCAACAGGCCAATATTATGGATAGTAGCCAAGAAGAGCATGAATTAGATATCGAAATTGAGGTTCTAATAGAGGAGGTTAGAGTAAAACACCAACAATCTAACCAACTAAAATTTGAAGATGTCGATGTTGTAGAAGAGATATTGGAGTCGACCAAGGACATTGAAGATGCGTATTTAGTTGACTCTAGTATCATTGGTATTGAGGATGTTGACAATCCCAAGCTTCATGTAGTTGAGCGCATTGGTTCACACTCCAAGCATTTTTTCACATTGTGTTTGGATGATGATATGGAAATAGAGACATCCGAGCCAATTGAGGAGTCAAGGAATGAGGAATA